CAGTGTTCAACTGACTACACAGCCCTGGTTTGTTGGGAGATTATTTCTTGTATTCCTGTGGTTTATCCTGATATAACATGCAGAAACTATTATGATAAAATAGCTTTAACTCTGCCAGTTATTCCATGTAAAAGGAGATTAAATGAGAGATTATAAAAAGCTTCCATAATTTACATAGTTTTCTTCATAGTCATTTAACAAGTAGACTCAAGTTTTCCGTTTTTAACTGTTTTTAATCTTACTTCAAGAGAAAATTTAAATTCGTTAGCTTTTCCTTTTCACAATGACAGTCTTTTTCAATGCAAATGAGTGAGACAGGACCTTCTAATCCTTGACACTAAGATTATTTTTCTGTCAAAAAGTTTTCAAATTTTGACCTCAAAGTATGCTTAACTTTCAACATTTCTAAATAAAAAAAAAAGAGTAGCAAAACTGGTAAGAAGTTGCTAAACCTGATTGCTCCATGTATATCCTCATTATTATTATATAAAGTATCTAAAAAGGGTGATTCTGGTACCAATATACTTAATATATAATTGATCCAGAAACCTTTGGGTTATTAAAAACTTTATTTGAGGGCCAGAGATTTAGCTCAGTAGTGAGGCTGCCTGCTTCACAAGGGCAGGGACCCCAGTTTGATCCCCGGTACCAAAAAAAGAAGAAAAACTTTATTTTAATTATAAAAGTTTCCTGGTATGTTGGCACATGCCTATAATCCCAGCACTCTTGAAGGGTGAGGCAGGAAAATCCAAAGTTTGAGCCCATCCTGGTGATTTAACTGCTTAGCAAGATCCTGCCTAAAAAAATAAGTAAGTAAGAGCCAGGGATGTACCTCAGTGCCAAGGCCTGGGTTTAATCTCCAGTACTGAAAAAGAAAAAAAAAATCATGCTGATTGCTTATCTGCCATTTTTTATATTATTTATCATAAAATTATGCTAAACATCCTTTCTTAGAAGGCTTTGCCTACTTTTTAAAAAACAATTTTCTTGAAATAATTTCCTAGGAGGACTTTGATAAACACTGCCAAACCACTTTTCAAAAAGATGGTTGCATTTTCTTTCTAAAAACCTATCTAGCCACAGATGTATCAAGGCTGTCTCTGAACAGAGATAGGTGACCATTTTAATTTTTAGTTGTCTTACTATAATTAGTAGAACTCAGGTAGGACAGGTAGGTTAATGGTTTACCCAATGTTGATTATATGCAGGACTTCTTGCTGGAATCTCAGAAATGGTCTAATGTTACTACACATAGTAGTTGAATTATTGCAGACACATGAATGGGTACCTGAATTGTGTATTAAAAGCTGTATAATGGCAGTTTATTATGAACAACATTCCTTGAATACTAACCAGTTACAAGACACTATTGTAAGCACCAGGGAATCTATGAAAGATGGCACTTGCCTGTCTTCAAGGATCCTAGGTAGGGAAAAAGATGTGTAAATAAAGAACAAACTATAAAAAGATAAGGCCTTTAGAGGTTGACACTGGGGAGCCATGAATGAAGAAGTTTCTAATTCTGTGGAGGAACAGTATTCGGAAAAAGGTTCATAGATTAGTGATACTGAAGGCAGCTTGCTTTGGAGAATGAGGAGTGTTTTAAAATGCAGAAGAGAAGGTATGTAGCAGTACTCAGGACTGAAAAGAGTAGAGCATGGAGGTATGCAAATGTGGGATACTGCTGATGGTCAATTGCTGGATGAGGCAAGAGAGACACTGTAGATAAAACTGGTTAGTTCCTTCTAGGAAGAGATTCAGGGCCTCAACAGAAAAACACCTTTGAGGAGATCACAGGAAAGAGGTAAGAGAAATCTTTGAAAGATGGTGGGATTTGTTAAAGCAAGTAAGGAAAAAAGACATATTCCAGGAAGAAAGATGTCAATATTTGATTAATGCTTTTAAATTGCTTTAAAGTTTTCAAAGCATTTTCATGCAAATGATGTCATTTGACTCTCACCACCACTTCATGTGATAACACATACATTTTTTCTCATATTGCAGCAGAAGAACCATGGGTGAGTAGGGTCAAGTGCCTTGCCTAAGGTCACATGGCTGAGTGAAGTGGCACATAGGACGTTCACGTTTCACACGGTTGGGGGGCACTATGTGCCTTGTGTTTGAAGGAGGGTGTCCACAGCTCTATGAGCAGCACAGTGATGTTGGCAGCTGACAGGAGGTCTCACTTCTGACCTCTTTTGCACTGTAATAACTGCTAGAGTATTAAAAATGCAAATAGCTTAAAATAAGACACACTAATGACTCTTACCTTTGATTCTTTTTTTTTTTTTGGTACTGGGAATCAAACTCAGGTCCCTGTGCTTGCACAGCAGGTGGCGAAACCACTGAGCCAAATCCCTGGCCCTTACCTTTGATTCTTAATACTTTATATACTGCCATTTTTTGTTAAATAATTTAAAAAGATAATACATATTTATCCAAAGATAAGCATTTTGTATTTTACATGGTATATTTATTAAAACATATACACACATATAATGGAAGATAATATTAGGCACCTTAATTTGTGTTATCATCCATTTTCTATACCTACGGAAGCTAAAATTACACATATTAAACAATATTAAATTACACTAAGAAGTTAAAAATTATACATGTTCGACCATATTAAATCAAAGCAGCATTACATGCAATTTCTAAAACTTCAACCTGTTTGAGTATATGAGTGTTCTTTCAAAATTGTGGGGATTATGATGAAAAACTGAAAGAAAAATTCTACATAGAGAAAAAGATTGGGGCAAGTACCTTCAAATCTAGGCTACAAGAAACAAAAGCAATACTATATATGACTATAGAAATTTTATTTATTTATTTATTTATTTATTTATTTATTTGGTACCAGGGATCAAACTCGGGACCTTGTGCTTGCAAGGCAGGTGGCAGAACCACTGAGCTAAATCCCCAGCTATAGAATTTTATTTTTAATGATTCAGGGTTTTTCAGCATCATTGAGCAGTTCTTTCTAAGGAAATAGGCAGTTTTATAAATGGCTTATGTACTAAAAACTAATAGCAGAAGATACATTGCAAATAACTTTACGACATTTGAAGTGTGTCTGGGTGTCAGAGCTGGCTAGAATTATGTGTTTCATTTTTAAGCAATGAAGTAGAGTTATTAAAAAAGGCTAATTATCTTCCTTGAGGCTACAAAATTAGGCACTATAGGAATAGTGGCTGAAATCCAAAGCTTCTGTCTATTACCTTGGTCCCTGCAATAAATTTAAAATGTCTCCCTAAGCCCTGACACAGGTACTGCCAGGAATTAGCAAATACTGTATTCTTTCCCATATTAGAGGTACAGGTCGGGATGCCACCCTGTCACATGTCAGCATTTGTCAGCAATGTGAGCTTCATTCCTGCAGAATAGACTGGTGGGTGTCTATGAGTCTTTGGCAAACAGATATGGACCTACAGACTGACAGTGGGATGTTCCAGTACTCCTCCAAGAATATCACATGCACGTCTCTATAGACAACCACCTAGGATATACAGAATCTACACAGACCTCTGTCACCTGATACTTTCTTCCTCTCATTTTTCAAATCTAGAATGCAGGAAACAGGTTAAAGGTACTGAAAAGACAGTAAGGTTAAATTGTCAACTTTCAGTTTCTGATTTGCCCAATGAGAAAAGACATAAATGTGGCACTCATTACAAAACATGTGGAAAGGGCCCTCCTGAAACCATATGCTTGTCAACAACAGCACAATCTCATTCAAGGTGTTAAGGATGCTAATGAAGGCAGGATGTCAGAAAAACAGCAACAGATCAATATTTCCCCCCACGGATAGCTGTCTCCATCATCTGTCACTGTACTCAGTCCATGTAAATGAAATCAGTCAGCGAGAGTTTCTGTGAAATGCATAAAACAGTTGTCTTCTTGACTCTAGCAGAAGATAAATGATTCCAGACATTGGATTCTGGCCATTTTCCCACACATGCTACAGAGCTCTGACATCCATATTGGGCCATAATACTGAGTGGTTTCTGCTTCTGCCAGTTTACAGCCAGTATTTCCACTTCTGGTTTGGACTACACAGAGTGCTAATGCTGATGCAAAATAAGTCTTCTTTTGCCTGAGTAAATTCTAAGAAAATTGCCTGTTTCCAGTAAAAGGGTTCCTGTGATCCTCCATACTTTTGTCTATCACTCATAGAATCTTATAATTCCAAATCATTGCTTTATCTCTCTTTGGAATTAGACAAATCCTGGCTTCATAAAACATATGACATCAAATGTAAGCCACCCAGATGTAACAAACAACTATACACACTACATATAGCACAAGTCCAACTTTGTTTGAAAACCAATACTTTGGAAAATGTATTAAATATAAATAGCAGGAGTGTTTCATAAGTTAGTTTATGTTCTACAAGAGTAGTGGACTTTTAGAGAAAGATAAACTAAAGAAAATCCTGAAGCAGCTTCCGTTAAAAATTATATTAACACCAGTAACATTATTCAGAAGGTCCATAGGAAGTCTAGGTCATATTCATGGCTATTTAAGTCATTGATTCCATGAAATTAAACAACCTAATAGTATTTTCTGACAGCCTCTCAAATCTGAGAGGTGGGTCCCTTTCTCACTAAATTTTCTTTGAGGGAATGTACAATTAATTTTGCCCACAGTTCAAGGAAAAAAGAATGGGGTGGGGGGAACAAAGGAAAGGAAGGAAGAAGAGGAGGAAGTCCTTATCTACATCTGTAAACTGAGAAGGAAGTCCTTAGCTATGTCTACAATATGAAATAAAACAATTGTTCTGATATTTAAAAAGTAAAATAAATCTTTAACTTTTCAATGGTTTAAAAGCGAATAATGAAAATGACAAGCACTGCCTTTTGATTTTAAATCACGTTCTTGTTAATGTCAAATCCACTACAAAGAAAACTTTATATATCAGTCACAAAACTTGCAGCCCAAATAGGAAGTAACTGGTATCCTGCTACCACGACTTCTTTTTCTATGGAACACAAACTTACTTTGCTTAAAAATGTCCTTAGGCGGCGTTGTACCTCTGAAACAAAACCACTCCTTTCTTCATTTCATTTTCTGCTTTCTTGAAAACTGCTCCTCAGAAACTGACAGATGGTGCATCTGTTACTGAGTGTTTCCTCGTTGTTATCTCTGTCAGCTAATATTTCCTCTGTGCTTAGCGGCTGTCTGTGAGACCGGTCCACAGCATTCTAGCCTGATCAATGGTGTGCCTCCTTTGAGGTTGATTTTGGCCCCGCCTCCAGCTCTAAGAGAAAAAATGAAAACTCACAGCTGGATTTCCTATGAATCCTCTCTTTAAAACTGGCTCTTCAGCTCTGGCACATACCAGAGGAAAAATGCCAGTCTACCACAAACCAAGAAGGGTGCTCTTCCTCCTACCTTCCCCTGCCACTAGAGTCAAAAACATTATCTTCTTGACAAATCCCACTTAAGTTATTCTAAAACTTCACAGAAAGGAAGAAAGCATTTTAAATCAGGCTTAGGTCTTTTCACGACTGATAAGATTTGAAGGAAGATGCCCATGAGAAACACACACGATTTCTCTCCTTCTCTCTCTCTCTCTCTCTCTCTCTCTCTCTCTCTCTCTCTCTCTCTCTCGGCTGAATAATTTGTAATGGGTTCAATATTGTGGAAAGCAATTTTAAACAGAAAATGGAAAAGGAGAAGATACCAAAATAGGACATTACAAAACTGTTGTGCATGTATTTTTCTATCCTAAAACTTAAGACATCATTCACATTCAGATGATGCTATACCCTAAGCAACAGGATTTGTTAGTATTTATACTCTCAGTGAATTTGATGAATTAAGGGAATACATAAAATGACTTTTGGGGGCCTAGATGAGAGAAGATTTCATCACTAGGATAACTGCTACCAAGGAAAGTAGGACAGGCAATCACGTGACAAGGAGTCAATTCTATGAATCAGGACAAATGATGCATTCTAAACTAACATATTCTACATAGTTAATTGTAGTCAAACCTTATGGACTAGTGGCCCTTTTACCATAAGTAGCATACATGAGTGTTACTAAACCAAGCCTAAAGATCTGAATATTGTCCTAGGGTGCTGAGTCAGAAGATCTCAGTCTTATTTCTCAGTGGCGTCCATGAACATGACAGGTCTAGAATAAGCTGTGGGGACCTTGAAGGTAATCTCAAGAAAAAGAAAGATGATAAAGTACTTTGTTGTCATATTTTAACATTCATATTTCTCTTTTCAACAACAGAAAGCGTATTACATCAATATAAATATTTAATCTGGCAAGGGATGATACCAAACTAAATACCACAGCCAGTGATAAGGAGAGCTAAAGGTAAAAGAATTGTGGAAATAGCATGCAGAATGTAAAGTGCATGGTGAGAACAGTAACTCAGACTTTTGATTATTTGAACTCTACAGTAAGAAAGAATATATGGTAAGCATCAATCAGAGAGGAGCTGAGGAGTAAATATTTGATACTTTAGTACTCCTTCCAATTTCTCACTCAATAGAATCCTGGAACTGTCATCTCCCATTAGTCTGTGAGCCCCCTAAAGGCAGGGATACACTGAGTTGGTGTCGGTTGAACAAGGAATGAATGAACTAGACATTGAAGCAGATAAGAGCCATTCACTCTATAACTAGACATCTGAAGGTTGAGATTACCTGTATGCCCTTGCAGACTTCTCTAATGTAAGGTTGGGATTTGTAGGGAGAGAGAAGAGAGATTTTGTTCCAGGGTCCTGGATCTCATTCAGCTTTCTCTGTTCATCTCCTGCAAACCCTACCCTTCCCCACTCCATCCCGTGAGAAAGTCATCCTCCTGACAGTGAGACTTAGTCAAGAACCAGGATGTTTGTAAACATCTTTCTAATGAAAGTACATGGACTCTTGGGATAAATTTTTAAAAATGGTATAGCAAGCCCTTGTTTCATGTGGCTAGCGAACAATGAGCTTTCAAACCCAGGACAACTCTCCACCACATGGGGGTGGGCTGTGCCATGGGAGCTGTGGATTTCAGACTAAGGAAAGGCAGAGGAGATAGGCAGCACCTGCTCCTCTTCTGTGTGACACCTCCCTGCCAATGATGGACTTTTGACTAAAGCCACTGGAGAGTTCATCTACTTTCCTAATGGGTTTAGGTGTGTGATTTCTGATTCACAAACCGAAGGAGTATACTAACTTTGGGTAAGGGCATTTACCAACTGTGAGGATCTAATCTAATAAATACTTTTTATTCCTATACTGTACAAGGCACTCTATATTAGCTACCTCAAGTAATACAAGCTGTCAGCTCTCTTTGGAACAGCTGGTTCACAAGGGAACATGCAATTATAGGATGTGTGTCCCTTACCTGAAATACATAGGACCAGAAGTGTTTCAGATTTTGGAGTCTTTCTAATTTGGGAATACTTTCATATATTTACAGTGAGATATCTTGGGGAAGGGATCTGAGTGTAAACAAGAAATTCATTTATATTTCATTTATACATTATATACAGAACCTGAAGATAACTTTACATAATATTTTAAATAATTTTTGGCATGAAACATTTTCATGGTGTGGAATTTTCCACTTGTGATGTCATGTTGGTGCTCAAAAACTTTTAATGTTTTGGAACATTTCAGATTTTATATTTTTGGATTAGGGATATTCAACCTATATAAACCTAAAGCAAGATATAAAAACAGGGGGTTGGGAAGAGTGCAGAGTGGGTTCACAGGGAGAGGACTGTATCTAGTCTGGGAAAAGGGAGTGGGAGAATCCAGAAAGCACTTGCACAGTCTTCCAAGGCAATGCACTTGAGAGAGAGAAGGGAATGAGCTCTAAAGCCAAGAAAGAGACAGGGCAAAGCCAGCTGTGTAAACTTGGACAAGTTGGTTGTGATCTTTCATTGTTAAATGGACAGTAATAGTATGCCTGCTAGGGTAAAAAGAGTACAGATTATGTGGGTTGATTCCTGGAAAACACCTGGAGCAGAACTTGGCATAAACATCTAATACATACTATCTATCACTCCATTGTAAGAATTTTTTTTAGATATAGGTAATTATGACTGCACTTACAAGGCTGTATTTGACTAGCTGCAATTCAAGAAACAGAACACTTTTCAAGAACTTGCAGTACTTATCTGTAATGTACTTTAAAGTACTTGAACATCTATGGTGCCATATTGTGTGTGTGTTACTTAGGGTAAACTGTTACACAGGTGCTGTGAGGATCTAATCAAGCATTCCAAGTTCAAGCTCAAATTCTAAAGAGGGAGTGATTCAGAATTCATTGTTACAAGCCCTGCTGTTACCATCCCTGTTAACAGCCTTCAGTTAGCATTCTGAATGGCAGAAGTGGAAGTCCTGACTGTTGACTAGAAGGTCTGGTGGAATTAAGGTATTCAACAAATATAGACAGGCTGAAATTATTTAAATATAACATTCTGAGAAAACCTTTACCTCTCTATCTTGGGATAATGCCTTAGCCTAAACTCCTTTATGAGCTCATGTCTAGCCATGAGCTCTGGAAGGCTCTGCTTGCCTGGTGACACTGGCTACCGGGGCGAGACTCTGCTTTTGGAATTGCAGTGTCTGCCCCAAGCTCAGGTTTACCTTGTATGTTAATGCTGTGGTTGAAGCATCTAAAAGCAAAGGAAAGAGCTGAGACTTCTTGAAGCCTGCACACAGTTTATTGGACCTTATTTGTGTATGAGTGTGTGGTTGGTTGCTTGTTTGTTTATTTTTTTCTTGCTGGGGACTGAACCCAGAGCTTCACATAAGCTAAGGCCCATACTCTGCTCTACCATTGAGCCACACCCCTAGCCCCTGATGCTTGTTAGTAAATATCTCTATATTTGACAAAATTTGGTATCAATATGAATTGTAAGGTATTGGGGAGAGTAGTTGATTCTCTTCTGGCTTAAAGCTTTTTTGGTTATTATTATCTACTAAAAGGAACCTAAGAATTGTATATGGCCAGTTTGATCACTTTAGTTCACTAATAAAGACAACATAGGACATGGAATCTCTAGGACATTAAAGAAAATTGGCAAAGTCCCAAGTTTGCTTTACCAGAGAACTCAAAGATGTTTCTTTTGACCGTAATTAGATCTTGGGTACTACGAAATTCACTAATTTCTTGGCAAAAAGGAATTAGAGAGAAACTCCCAATGTACTACACATTATATTATGCTATGAATATACTTATAAAATACAGGTCTTATCCTATAGGATGGATTCATTTTTAATGAGTTGTTTTGTTATATTCAAAGTAAAAACAACATGAAAATGAATAAAAATAAACTTTGAGATTTAAAAAAATACTTTAAAATAAAATTATACAAAATATTCATCATATTAAAATAATACTATTGTAAAAACTTCAAACATTGCATATAAGTGCACAAAATATATACTAAAAAGATAAAAGTCTGCTTTTATTCCCAACTCCTAGCTCTACTTTCCTTCCGAGATGTAGTTGCTATAAAAAGTTTGGTGTCCATCCTTCTGAAATTGTTACATATATGTGTGTGTGTACGCCCCATATATATCTTTCATATATGTAAAATATACAAGTATGTCTATACATACATGTACATATACAAGCATGTTGTATACTCATTAATTCTTTTTCACCAAAATAAAATTTTATATGTATTACTCTCAATTTTGTTTTGTTCATCTAAAAATATGTCTTGGAGATCTTCAAACGAACAAAAAAAAAGCTACTGGCTTAGATCAGTAGAAAGGGACTACTACAGTCAAAAGTTTGGAACTGGGGAAGCCAGACCAAAGAGGTAGCATTGCTTCTTAAAGGCATTAGAAGCAAATTTGTGTTGTTCTGTGGTAGGAGGGAGAACCTCTTGTCCCCACTGAAGGTGACAGATCTGACATCCTGGGAAATATAGTAGAATAGATAGATGTGGATGAATGAATTCACAGACTCAAATGAAAATATAAAATGAGTAGAATTCAATTCCTTTACCTCCTAAAGGTGACAGACTGTTTCTTTAGCATGCACACAGGTATTCAGAGTATGTTCTGCCGGTCTTGTTTTCTACTCCTATTTCAAACAGAAAATAAATGCCAACTTCTACTGTTGACTTGTTCCTATTAATGGCAATGGAGGGCCGGGGAGATTTAGCTCAGTGTTTTCACCGCCTGCTGCACAAGTGCAAGGACCTGAGTTCGATCCCCGGTACCAAAAGAAAAAAAAAATAATAATGGCAATGGAAATGTTGAACTTTCAGACTTGGATACTGAGTTGCTT